CACACACACACACACACACACACACACACACACACACACACACACACGCCACCGTCCCAGAATTCACAGCCAATCTCCAGCAGGATTTGAATGGCAGGACAGCGAGCTGCGCGATGTGAATATGGTGCGAAGAGTGAGCCGATAACGTGACTTTTCAAACTCACGTCTGCTGCTGAAGGTACGTTTGAGGAAAAGAAGCTACGTCTGTGTGTTATTGTGCAGTGGCTACACGTCAACTTTGGCAATTAAGCAGCTGAGCCCCTAACAATGTCTAATTAACTGAGGAAAAGGCTAATCAGTCAACACAGCTATAAAGCGACAGACAACAGTATGGAGTTGTACATCTTGTTGTGAGCTGCCATTCCTGCCTGAAGAAGAGCTGCTGTAGTTTTGTCCCAGTCAGACTTCTTGTTCAAATGAATGCAGATACGTTTCAATAGCAACACTTTGTCTGTTTATGTCTTACGACCAAACAAGGAAATTGTTTCCCCCCGCAAAAAAACTTCTCGGCTCAAATCCTCTCTGTAATAGCTAACTTTGTGTGTTAATACATTTGATTACGCAACACAGATGTTATGTTTAAATGTATTTGTTTACCATTCCAGACAACCCCACATGAACTTTTAAGTGTACAAAGTATCCCATTAAAGGGTGTGTGTGTGTGTGTGGGTGTGTGCGTGCGTGCGTGCGTGCACTGATGTTTGGACACGTTTCACTTCCTTGCCATGTTGAAAATGATCGGTGTGAAAGAATGCAAAGCAGCCAACCCTCAAACCTTTGCACTCTTGCTGCCGGCTGCCCGAGAGGCTCTGCTGTGTGCTCCAACTCGGAGTTCGTAATTTGAATGCAACAAACCGCAGCACTGGATTGCGAGGCCGTCCGCCTCGACTGTTTTGACTTGAAAAACGCATCGTCCCGTCACTCCGGCTCTCAGCGGTTCTACTAAAACTACTCATAAACAACCATCCTCTGGCTAAACAAACTGATAACTGAGGCCTGTGTTAACAACCATCCTTAAAACAAACATAATTAGCTTCAGCTCACACCTGAGCCACACTACCTGTGTGTGCAGTGTGGCTCAGGTGAGGCTGGCCGTCCGCTGCTTCTCTTCTAGAAAACCGAGGTCTTGTCCATCTTTTACATGTGACGTGCACGGTTGACAAAAACTAGACAGTGAAAATGATCTTTTACTGTATGTTGACATCATACTAGCAACATTGCCACAGTTCAGATGTCTACATCTGTAGAGAAAAAGGACATTTTTATTTTTAACTCAACACTTCCTGTTTCCTTTAAAAAAATAAAAGCCCTCCAGCATCTTTCTGTGCCTTTATGTAGAGGCAGCAGTCACAACGCTTCTCAGGCCGGCAGTGTGGACTCAACGTTAAGAGTGTTTTTTAGAGCAATGTGTGCAATTCTTCAGGAACTCCCTGTTTGCAGTGACAAAGACACACAAACACGCCCAGGCAGCAGCCTGTTCAGCACAATACAGATGATGCCGAACACCCTGCAGGTTTAAAACATCTGCATGGCTGGTATTTACTCCGACGTGTCCCTGTTCAATCTTGAGGTACTATTTCTGGATTTCCTAAAAAGGGATAGAATGAGGTAACACGTCTCTCTCTCTGGTCTTACCATGCCCTTGTCTTGCAGGCACATCATGAGGGTGCACACGTCTCCTGTGGATTGGTGGTTGACGATGACCATGGCTTCGTCTTCAGAGATGGGCCGTACGTCGTCACCCCACTCCGTTACTTCAAGGAAAAAGAAATAAGACACTTACGGTTAAACAAGGTGGTAAATTATATATTTTTGAAATCACTGATCCAGATCCAAATTAAAAACTCTATCCACCAGATTTCACTGAAAACTGTTAACAAGGTTTTAAAGGTGTTCTGCAAAGTAATTAACATACAATGTAACCACAAACGTGGTGGCAACAAGTTTGATTTAAACACCTTGGAGAGTCAGCCAGTTGTGGTTCATTGCGTCAAAACAATTAAAATGGACTGAAGTGAGAGTTCTCTGGTATACAAACACTGAAATCCAATTTGTATATCAACGGTGAATGTTACACCCTTTAAATCCGACCTACTCTCATGGTCTGTAGTTGTTAAACCCAAGTGTCCCGACTCTCCCTCACTACAAACTGTCTGCTGTGTGATCTGCGTATCCTCCCGACAAAGATCAGAGAGCAAACATGTATTCCCATGCTTCCACAAGTAGGTAGTAGATTTGTAGGCATTGTTTTCTGTACTAGATTAGTCGTCATGTGTATTAATCCATGTTGAAAGGGAATGACAAAATGTTTGCCTTGTGGTTGAGAAAGGAGAAGCGAGTTTCAGGAAACGGCACCACAATCACTCTCACTATTGACCACTCTGAGCAGAGCAGAGGAAACGGTCCAAGAAGGGATGGTGCGTAATTTAATTTCATAGAACCAGACTTTCAAATCCTTCTGATCATCTGAGCAATCATCCGCAGACTGTACCGTCATGTGTGGCTTCTGATGCAGCCGTAAGATCGTCCAGTTGTTGATCGATCACGGATGGCGCCGTTCTCTTGGACGGATACAATAAAAATAACAAAAACCTAGAATCACCGCCTCCGTGTGATATTGTCTTAATCAGCATATGAACTCTTGAGTTATGGACCAAAACATGTTTCGTGAGGTCACAGTAACCTTCGACCACCAAATTCTAATTAGCTCATCCTTGAGTTCAAGTGGACATTTGTGCCAAATGTAAAGAAATTCCCTCAAGAAGTTCCTGAGATATCACGAGAACGGACCGGACAGACATACAACCTAAAAACATCGAAATAAAACATAAAAATGCTTAAATATACTTGGGCGACCATCCAAGTAAAGTCTATTAATGAATATATAAGAATAGCAAAAGATGTAGTAACTTGAGTTATCATATGGTTTATCAAAATGATTCAAAGTGATGCATTTCTACATTGTTTAAAACGTGCGTTTATTGCTCAAAAAGCATTTTTGGCTATTTTAAGGCATTCTGGTAAATTATATCAGCTGTCATTTCATTATCGCCTTCTAGAGTCACAGATCACATTTTCCCACGTCCTACATAAAATATTAGCATAATCATTTCTACTGAGCATCAGAAGTTGCCCTTGTGTACGCATTTCTTTTGTAGGTGGCATTGATGTATTTTTAGTAACGATCACACTCGACAAAGATAACATCCTCAGTTCAAAACTGAATCATTTGCATCATCATCATCAGTGGACTTGTTGGTATGGGAGCTCCCTTCCTGAAATAACACTTTTTGTTTGGATAAGCAGCAAGTTAGGTTCTAAACTCTGCTACAACAGGAGATCAGGCTTATTTGCATGTCTACGTCCATAAATAACGCTTCTCTCTTCAGTGAAACCACATACGGCGTCAACGTAAAGCTCAGAACAGAACCACGGCTTTGTTTTCTATCGAAGCGATACAAATAATAGACTGTGAGCTACAGTTCTTTGGTACAGGTAACACTGCCGACAGGTACACAACGGTCTCATCTACCCACAGAACAACAACAATGTTGATCATGATTGGAAAAGATGGTGATTTGACTTATTTCCTGTGACGTTACGGTCAGCTTCATTCAAATGTCAAAGCCAAATGGTTTGGATTGATATCATCAAGCGGATTTAGTTAGACACCAAATCAATGATCAGGCAGTTGTTGTTGCTTCACATCAATCAAAGCTTATGATCGTGTGTCCGTGGCATGCAGCACAGGAATCCATTGAAATGACGGTGACACAAGAAATGTGATATAAAAAGGTTCTGTAGTCATGTGACCAGTCGAAGATCTGCCTTTAGATCAACGCCTATACTGGCATTGTAAAAATATACGTTTCTATCAAAACCACACCAAACCTTTTCTAAAATTAACTCGAGTAAAAGCACTAAAACAATAAAAACTAATTGCTTTTTTAGCGGGATATGCAAGATATAAGAAAACTGATTCCACAGTCTGAGATACAGTCCAACTACACAGATAGAACTAACCACTAACCAACTAACCACATAGAACCAGTACCCTGTGAAATTCAGCAAAAATCAACAGCTGCCCAAAAACTGACCCTTCAAAGGAACATTTTCTGTGTGAGCGCTTGCTTTCTGTACCTGGGGGGCCAGAGTAACAAATACTTTTTTGTTCCTGTTGCTCGCTTTAAAAAGCGGACAAGAGGAAGGCCTAATTGGCTAAGTTGAAAGGAGGAGTTATCTGTCAGAAAGCTCTTCATAGTTTCACGTCTTCTTCAATACAGCATGATCTTCATCGTCCCATTAAAGTAAAATAGCCAATAAAGCGAGGGTGCGCTTTAGTGGCTACCTTGTGATTGACAGGTTGTTATCACGGTGAGCTGTCATTAGAGATGGAATTAAAGCAAAGCACATCCCTCCCTAGCTCCTCCCCCTCGTCCAAATATGGTCACCAAAACAAAAAAAAGTGGCCGCCAAAACGGTAGCTACGTCCACTTCTTTTTACACACAGTCTATTCTTCCAAAGCACCCGGTTGAAGGTAAATCACTAAAGTCATAAGCTTATTTAAAATGTACATAAATCTATAAAGCACTGCTGAAAATATAAGAAGAGCACTGTCACAGGAACCGAGGTACACAACATCCAGTCATCGGCAAAAGGCCAAATGTCAACAACAAATTCTATTAACTCTGAACTGAATCAATGTTAAATCATATTAGAGAGGCTGTGAATCACTGAACACATCAACTCATTAACGTTTAATAAAAACTACTGATGGCGTGGTCTTCAACAGGAGTCTACTATGCGTTAAATCATTGAACCCTTCTGGTTATAACTTTCAGCGATGCTTTGCTTCTACTTGACCAAAGCAGACAATGACCAGCGTCTCCATCAGCACCTCCAGGAGTGGATCTCCAGCAGCCCTCTGATTTACATCATCATGCCTCAGAGCACACAGGCTCCTCTACTAACCATTCATCTGTGTCTTAGCGTCGATGGGACACACAGAGGAGCTGCAGACAAAAGGAAGAAACGACAATCGCCCTCCTATAGACCACATCAGCTGCCTTTGCGATTTAAACGCACTTCAACAGCTCTGCATATGAACGGAGAACCCTCGGAGGTGAAACGCTTCAGCCCGGAGCTGCAATCGTTTGCTGGGAATCGCCACAGTTCTGGACGGTTCTGACCGACTCCAGCTCTGTGTGAGGCAAACATTGCATCAGTGCACCTCTTAAGTTTTTGAACCTGGTCCATGCGATCATCCGACGGTCACAAATAGTTAACGGATAAAAGCACTATTTACAGGTGTAGGGATTATTAAAAATAATGCTGATTCACCTTTAAATGCTTTAGAAACAGGTGGTCTGTTAACTGCCTATGCTACATGGTTCAAATTAAATAAACTCTTTGAATATCAAAAAATCAAATTTTATTATTTTCAGTGGCAAAGATTTGTACTTTAAGGATTTATCAAAAATTAAAATTGAATCTGTTGAGATGCCTCAAGTGTCATCTACAAAATTCCTAGGAATTATTATTGAGTTTAAGTTGGAGTAAAGATATTGACTGTTAGTAGAAAAATAAACAAATCTATTGGAATAATAAGGAGAGTTGGACATCTTGTCTCCTTATTCTTTATTACAGTATCATTTATCCCGATCTTTCATATTGTAATGTAGTTTGGGTGAGTACTTTTCCTACTACTCTGCAAAAAATGTTGGTCCTCCAGAAACATTTTGTTAGGATCGCAACCCGATCAGAGTCACACTTCTCTTCTGCTCCTCTAGTTCAGAAATTGCAGATTCTTACTATTTATGACATCAATATTTCACAAACTTGTGTTTTCATTTGTAAGATACTTTCAGGTGAAGGGAATATTCCTGATCATTTGAAGACCTACTATAAATTCAATTCGTCAATCTTCACATCTTCATCCTCCTAAATTACTGACTAGCAGAGGTCAATTTTCAATACGATTTAGGGGAACCAAATTATGGAATGACTTTTCCCACCTAACAAATAAAATGTTTTAAAAGATGCCTGAAAGAAAATCTAATTGCTGTTTTGTAACTTTTTTTATGTATTAGTGTTCATGTCTTTCTTGTTTTAGCTGTTATATTACATTTATAGTTGTCTCACTCATAGGGACTTGTAGCATTACCGTTGCTTAAGAGTTACTGCAGGTGTATAAACCAACAACCCTGAACAAACACAAGCCCATGCTTACTCTCACATGCACACACAATTACATTATTCTTTTCTTTTCTTTCTCTCTTTGTTTTGTTGTAATGTAATGTCTTATGCATATTTCATTTTATCTTTGTAAAATTCTAATATTATATAAGCCCAGTTGGCTTTCTGTCTCTTCCTGCACTGTGATATGCATTTATCTCTGTTATGTTTGATTATTTTAAATTTTATTGTTTGAATTGTGCAAAATAAATAACTCTGAAATAAATCTAAAAGTCTTATAAATCTTCATTTGAGTTTATATTTTGCCAGCAAAATCAAATTGTTTGCTGGATATTCAACCTTTGTTTCCTTATAATTCAATACCAGACTTCTTTCTTCACAAGGCCACAAAGGCCATAAAGTCGTCCATGAATATGAGATATGAGTTTACCGATAGTGTAAATGCCTCCTCGGCATTGTGGAAGTTGGTTTATGGCTTATTGCCGGTGACACCTACAGTCTACGGACAAGACACCGACACAAAACCATACAGCTACAAGAAATACGACGTTAAAAGGA